GCTTTCGGAGCATATATAAATGTGTTTTCTCAAAACTAGCAGAATATAACGCATTAGCTAGCCAACCCAGTTGGAAAATACATAAACCAAGCACAATCCATTGTACCATTGCTCCGGTACTTTCCAGGAACCACAAGAAATTTCAAGTGCCTGTAAAATCTCAATGGAGGATATAGGGATGGACGGATACTATTTGCATTGCAATACTGGTCGTTTGGTGTGACAATTTGTTGGGCTTACTTTTTTCATTATGTCTCCCACTAAAACCTCTCGAATTAAACTTTCAAAAAAGAAATCCCACCTCCAATATCAAACATGGAATTTTTTAAGGTGAAGGTGGGAAACTTTTTCACTGTGTGTAGGGTTTTTGAGTCAAGTTGAAGTTGAAGAATGAATGATAAGAAAGATGCAGCTGAAGCTGGAAGTTTCTACTTTAAACCATAGCCCTCAAGAATGACTTCCACGGACATATACCAGAATTGTTTAACAAGCACAGCACATGGACGCAAACATCTTAGTGGGGAAGGTAAAAGTCATAAGAAATCAAAGGGTAGCACTAACAACAATAATCACGTGAAAGTCATAATTAATCTTTCTTTTTTTTTAATGTATTTTACCAATTTAACAATTATACTCTTTTTTAAATACCGACGAGAGTCTAAATTAATCTAATTTACAGAAAAATGATATTTGAACTTAAGTGTAAGGGGGACTAGGACTCATTTGGGACTGTTTATTTAGAAAGTTCTTCTATTCATAAGCGCTTCTAACAAAAGCACTTTTATTATAAAAATCTTCGAATTTTCTTAAAAAATTCAAGTGTTTCTTCAAAAAGCGCTTCTAAACTTTTCTATCAAATGCTGTTAGAAGCCCTTTTAGCCATTTTAAAAGCACTCCCAAACATGCCCTAACTGCCCTGACCAACAACCCTAACACGTACATCTACAATTTTATACTCCATTAATAGGTCACACCAAAAGTAGTATACCAACCAACTAAGGTTAGTTTTTCAAAGTTAGGAATATAATGATGGTCTCACAACTTACAAATGAGGTTTAAAATAGGTATAGATGCTGCTGATTGCAATGTGGAAAGGAACTTTGGCCTCTGATTATACCACTAGGTTGTCCTTTCGAGTTGTCTTTGAGACCATCCTAATGAACAATTTGCAATCGCTAATTTATCTTTTTAGATAGATTAATGTTTAACAGCCAAATAAATTATGAAAAGATAAAGTTAACAATATTATTATGTGGTCAAGTAACTTATACTTTCCAATTTTCATTTCGAGACGCAGCGACTCGACCTTATAATTATTGGTTTCAGCAAAAGAAAAAGTAGAAGCAAAAGAGTATTCTCATTCTCTAAATGCTGTCATCACCTTGCACCTTGTACACTTTGAATAATGAACAGATCCTTTCGGCCGGGATATATATAGTATTTCCCTTTTTCTGTTCTTATTTTGTTTTTCTAAATTAAGCCCAAACAAGATCAGTTGAAAGACGTGCTTGGGCTAATCGTTAGATTTTTACATCTCATGAAAAGGAAAAGAAAAAAAAAAAAGAATCTTCGTTAACTCTCTCACGTCTGATTCGTCACATGTTGATTACGTGATCAATAGTTACGAGATCATTTGTGTTAGCAAAACAAAGGAGATTTTCTCCATTAGGAAATTGAAAAATAAATGGTAGAAAAACTTGATTATGTAAAGTTAATTGAGATTTTCAAATCGAAAAATGTAAGACGAGTGATATTTAAGTGATGTTTTGATGCATTTTATAAAGTTATTGTGTAAATTACATATTTATTGTTTCTGTTATGTTACGATTGTGAATTTGAGATCATATAATATTTTTTTAACTTAATGAAGAAAAAAAAATCACATAAATATACATATAGAGTAGAAGGTCTCACATTTAGGATGTTCGCCTAGAGCCTCCAAAACATAGGACCGCCACTTCTTCACTAGTTTGGATAGAATTTGATTTCAAGTTTCGTCCACAGATATTATGAGCGTCTATACCATAAATCAAAAATTATACATATAAAATTAAGGAAAATTCTATATTTTCTTCGACTTTAGATCAGCCTCATCTTCTGATATTTTTTTATATACATAAAAAAAAGATGATTAGAGCCTCATCTTCTGATATTTTTTTTAAAATATATATAAAAGATGATTAGAGCCTCATCTCATCTTTGTTTATTAATTCTATCACTAACGTCCTCTATCATTGCCTTCTAAGCTCTACGGGAATATAATATAATGTAATGCTCCACACATACATATGTAGTGCATGTGAAAGTATAATTAATTTTTGGCCGCGTGATTAGTGGAGTTTTAAGGATGACAGGTTTCTTCTGTTTTTTTTAATTACTTTTATATTTTTCTGATTAGTGAATTAATTTTTGTTTGCGTAATTACTCGTTTTTTCATGCGTGTTATTCTACAAAACCAAGCATGTCACATAAACCCAAAACGCGTTTTATGAATTCATTATGTGTTTTTTTCCTTCCTAAACACACAATTTATAAGTCAAACAAACACTCTCAGTGGCACTAAATTGATAAATTTTTCAGCCATAAACGCGTTTGGGTTTGGCCATATGCATGATTTTGGCCTTTGCCTCTTTGAGAGTGAAACATATATTTGCCGTAGCTACGTGGTTTCCCCCCACAGAATCTTGCCAGCTACGCATGCCACCAAATTTTAGCATATGTAAATGACTGAAAATACAGTTTATAATATACGTAATGATCACTATCAAAGGGCAAAAAATACTCACGAAAGCCGGCCAAACTTTTGCTATTTTATTTGGAACATCAACACTAGAAGAAACAAGGAAAAGAAAACACACAGAGGTTACAACAAAAATATTGGGACAGGTAATCGAGTTTGGAGTTTTTTAGGGTTCAAAAGGTCAAACCACATGACAAGAGTAGTTGAACGTTATACTCTTATCTTTTCGTGTTTGCGCTTCGTGATCTAGAACAGGAGCATGAATAATTTCCAAACACTAATTATAGATTATAGATTAAAGGTGGAACTCACGTTACTTGAATGGATGAGATCTGTCTTTATAATCAAAGATAAATATGATATAAACAAAATTATTCATATTTTCGTGAGTCTAAAATAAAAGGGAAGGAGAAAAGGTTTATTTATAGAGTTTCCTGCGTGGCCCTGTTAAAAAAGAAAAAGAAAAAGAAAACGGTCCCTTCATCCATGAGTGGCGCGACCACGAGAGCATTATATTACATGTGAGTTTGAAGTCAACTCAGGAAACCCAGCTATACTGCTAAAGTGCCCCACCTGGATTGGATTGAAGAATTGAAAGTCAACGGACAACATCAAATGAATCTCACAAAAGATGGAAAACCTAATCAAAGCACTCAACGAATTACACAGTTCGAGGCCAGTTTTCAAAGCATGACATATCACATGCGGGCAGCCGGCAAAGTAGAATTAGTTTACCATACCGAGATTCATATTCTATTTCTCATGTGATACAAACAAGTAGAAACGTATAGGGAGCTCACAGAAGTTGACATTCAAAAAGATGGTGGACAAAATAGGAACCCATACCTACTATCATATTGCTGTGACCACAAAGCAATTCAGGGTGGAATTCATGGGATTTTTCTTGCACACTAAATAAAAAGATCATTGATTTGCATACCAGAGGTCTCAAGTTCGAATCCCTTCACTGTTATTCAAATTATACATCGCACTAAAAAAAAATCATCCAAAAGATCTTTTGAAGATAAATAAAAAATATAACGATATTTGAGGAGGGTTTTCCATGAACATAAATATCTTATCCTAATATATATATATATATATATCTCTTATCCTAATACTAGGATAAGGAGTATGATTGAAACTGGCACACCCAAAAAAAAAAAAATCAACATTTCAAGAAGTTCAAGGGAGGATTTACCGTTTTGTATGAAATAAGGAGACGTTGAAATTTGGATTTTGCCATAGGGACGAGGAGACAATTATATAGCGGTTAGTTTTGATAGGAAAGCTAGAGGTCCTGTTTTCTCTAACCCATAGCCATTGAATTTCTTTTAAAAAAAATACAAAGACTTCACAATTATGGGACCAATATTGACTCCTCGCATCACCTCACATCACATGTGATGTGGTGAGAAACTTCCCCCCTCTTTACTAAATTCATTTCATTGGTGTTTTGGCTTTTATTGACAACCAAACGCTACCTCACAACAACCACATCACTTCCTCTATAAAAGTCTATTTAACCCTTTTATTTTATTAATAATAATTTTTTATTTGTTTATATTGTTTTCAATCTAAATAAATAGCGTGTCACATTAAATGAACACAAATTTAAAAAAGAATACTATAATTTTCAAACTACGAAAGAAAGTATTATAAATAAACGACAACGGTGTTAAGTCTCAACAACCGATTAATGGGTCCATATGGTATGGAGGAAAATCTTCCATGAAACCTTCCAATTGGGTCCATATGGTATTGGGGACTTGTAAAATGACAATGGTGTTAAGTCTCAATAAACGATTCATTTCACACCATCAAGTCGTTGACAAATTTATTACAATCCAAAGAGTGTGGGTTCGTTCATGAAAGGTACAAATTCCGAATACTACAATCCAAATACTACATACTTAGATACTATTCCAAGTGTTTCTTCATCGTAAAGGCATACAAGTCTTATAATCAGACTATATGCATCAACGGTCAGAAATCAATCACACCCTTTAACACGCCGTAATTCCCAACCAGACACAAAAAAAGGATATATAAGAATAATAAAAACCTAATGGAAACCAATAATAACATAGATGCGGGACACGTGTGGACAACCTAGATGCAAAGCGGTGTCGTAATGGGGAGGGTCAGACTCCAGAGAGTTATAGTTGACTGAAGAGCCAAGGGAATACTTGACCAAAAAAAAAAAGAAGAGCCAAGGGAATATGCCGGTACAAATTCTCTGTTCTGGACTCATTTGCGTAAACAAAGTGATGCCGTTGCCTATAAATATACATATCCATTCTCTTCCTTATTTCACAGCTACTTCTCACCATTTCATCTGCTGCCCCCCACACTCTGTTTTGCTCTCTCCAAAGGCAGCAAAACCCAAAAGGTTAGCTGCTAAACATCTTTGTGTTATGCTTAATCTTGTCTTTCATTGTTAATTAATCTTGCTCCTGTAATTAAGCCCATCTCCATGCACATGACACACACAAAAGATGTCAACTTTTCATGCATGCAAATTGCAAGAGCAAAGTGAAAAGTGTAATTTGTAAAGTGGGTTTCTTTTGTTTTTTGTTTTTTTTTGTCAGTGGGAATAAAAACAAGCCATAGCTTTTTTTTTTTTTTTTTACATGGGTTCTTTCGTATCTCACTTTAACTCTGATCTTCACTCTAAATTTCCTTCCTTTTCATTTCTTTCGGATCTGGGTTGCCATGTTTGGGACATGGCATTGGCTGCCCCCTTTGAATTTATAGTATTATTTATGATTTTCAGCGGTTCAAATTTGCTAATAAATCCCATTTATAATTTCCATCGTGTAATGATCCCTGGATTTTAAGCCTAAGAAATCTGGTTCAACAACCCTGGAAATTTAACTGCAGGGGTAAAGGTTGAAAACTTAATCTGATAATATAATATTTTTTTTCTGGTGCATATTTTAATTGATTTAAATAAGAATTCTGGGTTTGGTCTAATGAATCCTCAGTTCACTCACGGGTATCTGTTTTGTCTGCTTGTGTGGGGTAGTTTGCATGTGATCTTCCTTGTTCACACTTGAGAGAGACACAGAATGAGGCAGAGTTCATTGTATTTGTCTTGTTCTTCTACTTTTCCTGTAGTCGTGGAGGCTTTGCCTTTTCAGTTTCCAGAAGATTATTTCACTTTTTCATTGCCAAATTTTTCTTTATCTTTTTTAATTTTAAAATTTCTTTGGCTGTCAAATAAAAATTCTTCTATGTGTATGATTTAGTTATAATAATCTTCAGTCTCAGTCTTCTTTTGAGACAATAAATCTTTTGAATACAACTAACTGTAGTCTAAAAGTCAGTCAGAAAACCAAAAGGTTGGATTAGTTGGACCTACTGTTCATTTGGGTTGACAAAAATACCCTCATGGATTGAAAATCTGTGGTCCTGGAATTATGGGTGAGGCTATTAAATTTCAATAGATGACCAAATATGGTGGAAAATTAATGGCCTTGCAGTCTAATAGTCATACATGTCCTGTCAAGAGTTGGAGTCAAATTTTCTTGCCCCCTTGATATTTATTTTGCAATTTGTTGACTTTTCTTCTGTTTGTTCTCTTTTAAAATTCTGTGGTTCAAGATTGACTGGTTTTTCATATTCTCACTGGTATTCAAATTCTGCAGATAGATAAGAGATAGCAGAGAATTGAAAACTTGTAGAAGCTAGCAGCTAGCCATGGCCAGAGAGCAATTACAGGTGCTGAATGCACTTGATGTTGCCAAAACACAATGGTATCATTTCACTGCAATTATTATTGCTGGAATGGGCTTCTTCACAGATGCATATGATCTCTTCTGCATATCTCTGGTAACCAAATTGCTGGGCCGCATATACTACCATGTTGAAAATGCAGAGAAACCTGGCATTTTGCCTCCCAATGTATCAGCTGCTGTGAATGGTGTGGCATTTTGTGGAACACTAGCAGGCCAGCTCTTCTTTGGTTGGCTTGGTGACAAGATGGGAAGAAAGAAAGTCTATGGCATGACTCTTATGCTCATGGTCATCTGCTCCGTTGCTTCAGGCCTCTCCTTCGGGCACAACCCGAAATCCGTGATGACAACTCTTTGCTTCTTTCGATTCTGGCTCGGGTTTGGCATCGGCGGTGACTACCCTCTTTCTGCCACTATCATGTCTGAATATGCTAACAAGAAAACTCGAGGTGCCTTCATTGCTGCAGTCTTTGCCATGCAGGGCTTTGGAATTTTAGCTGGTGGTATATTTGCTATTATTTCTTCAGCTGCGTTTGAGGCCAAGTTTGATGCTCCAGCATATGAGGTCGATCCAGTTAAATCCACTGTTCCACAAGCAGACTATCTTTGGAGAATTATTGTCATGGTTGGAGCAATCCCAGCTGCAATGACTTACTACTGGCGGATGAAGATGCCTGAAACCGCCCGTTACACCGCTCTTGTTGCCAAGAATGCGAAACAGGCTGCATCAGACATGTCAAGGGTTCTGCAGGTTGACATTGAAGCAGAACCACAGAAGATGGAGGAGTCGGTTAGTGCATTTAAGTTGTTCTCTAAGGAGTTTATGCGTCGCCACGGGCTTCATTTGCTTGGAACAACAAGCACTTGGTTCTTGCTTGACATTGCATTCTACAGCCAAAATCTGTTCCAAAAGGATATTTTTAGCGCGATTGGATGGATCCCTCCTGCTAAGACTATGAATGCTATTCAGGAGGTTTACAGAATTGCAAGGGCACAGACTCTTATTGCTCTATGCAGCACTGTCCCAGGCTACTGGTTTACAGTTTTTTTCATTGACAGGATTGGAAGATTTGCTATCCAATTGATGGGATTCTTCTTCATGACAGTGTTTATGTTTGCACTGGCCATTCCATATAACCACTGGACTCATAAGGACAACCGAATTGGGTTCGTGGTGATCTACTCGTTGACCTTCTTCTTCGCAAACTTCGGTCCTAATGCCACTACATTTGTTGTGCCAGCTGAGATTTTCCCAGCTAGGTTCCGGTCTACTTGTCATGGAATCTCAGCGGCCTCTGGGAAGCTTGGTGCCATAATTGGTGCATTTGGGTTCTTGTATTTGGCTCAGAGCAAGGATAAGGCCAAGGTAGATGCAGGGTACCCTACAGGAATTGGGGTGAAAAATTCACTCATTGTGTTGGGTGTAATTAACTTCTTAGGGATATTGTTCACCTTCTTAGTGCCCGAATCAAACGGGAAGTCGTTGGAGGAGATGTCCGGTGAGAATGAAGATGAAAATGAAACTGGGGCAATGGAGTTGGAGCCATCAGGCTTAAACAGGAGGACAGTTCCAGTTGCCTAGGTTATTATAAGCAGCTTGTAGAAATAATGTTGTAAGCTTTTTTTGGTTAATTTTGGTGAGAGGGAAGCTCTAGTTTTCTATTGCCCTCTTCCCTCTATGTTGTTGTGACTTGAGTCCATATATTATGTCAAGGAAGGAATTTGCAGAGGATGCCAAATATTAAGAAAGAAAATTTCCTGCTTCTTCATTTGTATTCTCATGTAGCTTCAAGCCTACCGTCAACTCAATGGCCATTGTTGTTGCTTCCAAATTCTATTGCTTGGCCCAATGTTGATAAAGGGATAGATGTATCTAATAAATGTGTCAAACTTTAGCCCCACTTCAAACTGGGACTAGCATCGTTGAAAAATCAGTATTCAATGGATTGACTTGAGTCTTTGAAATCTGCTTTAACCCATCCTCGCAATGCAAGGAAGGCTCATCAGAGGAGGGTGCGCTCGTTGATCTAGCGGCTACAACCGTGTTCGCATTAAGTAGAAATTCGTACCCCGGAAATATCCATGTGAATAAACATGTAATAAATACAAAAAATTATTTTGCACATAAATTGTATGCATTTCTATTTTTTTTTCTTTTTTGGTCTCTCATCATATGGCGAGTAGATGAGCACAAAGATTAATTAGTTTTACCTTAAAAAATCCTCCAAATGAAATATGAAATCTTTTATTTAAAGAGTAGCACCCTCCAGCTAGCTAGCCTGGCAGCAATTAGGCCATATTCCATGGCCTCAGATATCAACTTAAATGTTGGCATCAAATTTGAAACCATATATAGAAACATGGACAACCAGCCATTACTAGCCAACGTTCACATACATTGAAATACGCGTTGTGGCTATGGAAACTGTTTTTGGTTACTGCTAGCTACTACTAGAAAATCTGGCATGGAATATACCAGTGGAAGATCTCAGTTTGTTGAAGAGAAGATTGGGTAAGGGAGCGAAAATGGAGGGAATATGCCAGTATAATATTCCTGTTGATCAGGGAAACAATCTTGCATATAAATTCTCTAGCCTATGCATTCCTTTAACCATAAACTACTGCTCTCTCTCTCTGTCTCTCTGTGTGTCTCTCTCCATAAGGTTGAAAGAGCAAATCCAGGTCAGAAAAAAAACTACTGCTCTTTGCATGTTGTTCTTGTTTCTTCTTTGTGAGCTCCATCTCTCTGATTATATTCCTATTTGCCATTGTTGAATTTTCATTTATTGTAGGCATTACATTGTTATTGACTCCTCCCACTCTGTATATTGAATGCAATTTTTCAAATTTCAGATCCTCTTCTGGTACAACTAATGTGTTTGTGTGTTTTTCTTCCGAAAAATTGAAATCCTTAATTATCATGGTCAGTTTTGTTATATGTATAAGCCTGAGATTTTTTGATTCCCGGTTGAGATGGTGCATTATTTTAATTTCTTTCTGTGAGTTTTCTGAAATATTTTAAATTCTTCATTTCACATTTTTGTGTGTAACTTTTGGTTTACAATGTCAATCTCATATTTTTTATGATTCTTTATTCATACATTAGTCTGTACATGTAATCTTACGAGTCGTTTTCGTGCATATTGATGAAGCAGAGGAAAAAAGTGTTTGCGAGGGAGAGATCTAACAAGGCAAGCTAGCCATGGCCAAGGAACAATTGCAGGTGCTTAATGCACTGGACAGTGCAAAAACACAATGGTATCATTTCACCGCAATTGTGATTGCTGGAATGGGCTTCTTCACTGATGCATATGACCTCTTCTGCATATCCCTTGTCACCAAATTGCTTGGCCGCATATACTATCACGTCGAAGGCTCAGCAAAGCCTGGCTCATTGCCTCCAAATGTATCAGCTGCTGTCAATGGTGTGGCACTTTGTGGCACATTGGCAGGGCAAGTCTTCTTTGGTTGGCTTGGTGACAAATTGGGAAGAAAGAAAGTCTATGGCATGACTCTTATGCTTATGGTCATCTGCTCCGTTGCTTCCGGGCTCTCCTTTGGGCACACCCCAAAATCTGTAGTTTCAACGCTTTGCTTCTTCCGTTTCTGGCTTGGGTTTGGCATTGGTGGTGACTACCCACTCTCGGCCACCATCATGTCTGAATATGCTAATAAGAAGACTCGTGGTGCCTTCGTTGCTGCAGTCTTTGCCATGCAGGGATTTGGAATTTTAGCTGGAGGGTTGTTTGCAATGCTTATGTCTGCCATATTTGAGGCCAAGTTCAAGGCTCCAGCTTATGAAGTTGATCCAACTGGTTCAACTGTCCCACAAGCAGACTACCTTTGGAGAATCATTTTAATGGTTGGAGCACTTCCAGCAGCTCTAACCTATTACTCGCGGTCGAAGATGCCTGAAACTGCTCGTTACACAGCGCTTGTTGCCAATAATGTCAAACAGGCTACTTCAGATATGGCAAAAGTTTTGCAGGTTGACATTGAAGCTGAACCGGTCAAGCCCCAGGAACCTGCTAAATCGTTTGGTTTGTTCTCTAAGGACTTTATGCGCCGCCATGGACTTCACTTGCTTGGAACCACAAGTACATGGTTCTTGCTTGACATTGCATTTTATAGTCAAAATCTGTTTCAGAAGGACATCTTTAGTGCCATTGGATGGATTCCTAGTGCAAAGACTATGAATGCCGTTTCAGAGGTTTATAGAATAGCAAGGGCACAGACTCTTATTGCTCTATGCAGCACTGTGCCCGGTTACTGGTTCACTGTGGCCTTGATTGATAAAATTGGAAGATTTGCAATCCAGTTGATGGGATTTTTCTTCATGACAGTGTTCATGTTTGCCTTGGCCTTTCCTTACAATTATTGGACACACAAGGATCACTTGATTGGGTTTGTAGTACTCTACTCACTGACTTTCTTCTTTGCAAATTTTGGACCCAATGCCACCACATTCGTGGTTCCGGCTGAGATTTTCCCGGCTAGACTGCGGTCTACATGCCACGGCATATCTGCAGCAGCGGGAAAGTTAGGGGCAATGGTGGGTGCATTTGGCTTTTTGTACTTGGCTCAACCACAGGACAAGACTAAGGCAGAAGCAGGGTTCCCTGCTGGTATAGGGGTCAAGAATTCACTCATTGTGTTGGGTGTGGTCAACTTCTTGGGTTTGTTATTTACATTCTTTGTGCCTGAATCAAAAGGAAAATCTCTGGAGGAACTTTCAGGTGAGACCAATGAAGAGCGCAATTAAGGAAGTAGAAGATTAAAAGCAGCCGCAGACAAGAAGGGAGTTTCTGTTCTTCTAAAATACAGAAATTTTTTAGGATATCCTTGTCAATTTTTTCTATTATAGTCTTTTATCATATGTCATTGTATTATAGTAAAGAAGAAATCAGATCTTCTGCTGCTTCTTTTTTTTCCTGTTATTTAATCATTTTATTATAGTGAAGTACGGATGATCTTTTGTTATCTTTTCGTCTATATTGCCTTTTAAGCTGGTGCAAATTTTCTTTCTTTCACTGCTCATGTTGGCAGCATCCCTTTATTTGATTGACACTCTCCTAATAATTGTGCATCACTATTTTTGGTCCTCTCCTCTTAACAAAGCTTGCAATTATTCGTAGGCAAATAATAAGAGAAAAAAAGACAATGGGTGCCCTTTTCTTTTTCCCCAAAGATAAAAAACCATAAGAAGCCAACCAAATTTATATAACAACAATTTTCAGGGTTTACATCACCTAATGACAAGTTCATTTTCCTCTAGGAAGTAAGCTTACATCAAGGTAACTGAATTCTGCAGCAAGCAGATAACATCAAACCATACTTTTCATACAAGCCAGCTGATATGCCAATTTATTCAAGGAACAGTAATACAGTGAGTCTGGTGCCAGTAATGGGTTCTGCACATAATAAAGCCAGCATAACAAACTTACAGAACCCCAGAGATTTTTGACTGACCAAGGAAGACATGTTTTAGTGCTGCAGAGACTGTTCAGTGTGCACGGTCTCTGAGCACCTCCAGATCCATCTCTGATGGGTCAGTAGCCTGAATCTCATAGTGAATACCATCCAGCTCACGCCGAAACCTGTCTTTAGATGTTGCATACAGCATCTTTGCACGGATTCGAGAGGTTGAAGGGGACCTGATCACCATGCAAATAATCATGAATGGGGCACATGATAGAACAAGTTTTTGAATTGCAAGTATAGATAATAGATGTTATGGTGTTTATGACCAGCAGAGAATCCAAGATTCAATGAAAGTATGGTTTTCAGGGCCAAAACTTGCATCAAAGTATTCTGCACCTTTGATTTTGTAAAAAAGCTTCATACATATTACATATACAATTAGATATGAAGTCAAGGATGCAAATGCAAATTTATGGATGAATTCAAAAAACAAATTTGTGTGAAACTTATCCTTCGCAACTATCTGCAGGGGCTTGAAACATTGGGACTTGGGAATTGGGATCAGAATTTGTCTTATCACATAAGATCAACGCATGGTAATTATAGTTTAACAGAAATTATAGTCAGTCCAAACATAATAGGGAAATATCAGTGGTGAAGGGATTATAGGCAAAAACTAACCATGCAATGAAGAAGATCTTGCTCTTTTGACAGTTCTCAGAAGTCACAAAATCAAAGTCATAAACTGCATATCTGCAATCATTTTCAGGCAAAGATGCCACAAAATCATCATAGCTCTCAGCTGGACCACCAATCTTTTCAACCACAACCTCCCTCTTCTTCTCATCAACCTTGAATATCACATAGCGGTGAACCTTCTTCCTCTGCAGTTCCATGAAAGTGTTCTTGCTGTCATCAGAAACGCCCATGGCACACGAAGCATTTGGCTGGAAAGAAAATCCAATTGCGTTATATAACAGACACACAACCATCTACAGGTTTTGACTCAATACTAATAAGAATAACTATTTTGACTAGAAACCTATGCTCTGTTAGGCCGATGAAGAAATCTGATGACTTTCAGTAATTAGGACCAAGAAAACAAAAGCCTCGTAAAACGATTTGGAAGTCCAATACAAGGATCAAGGAAGGTGAATTCCCAGTTTTTTTTCAAGGTACCCAGGAAACAATACATCCTAAAGCTTCAAGCTTTAATTTCAGCTCAATAAAAGAAAAAGAAAAAGCTTTAAGCTTTAATTCCTCAGCAACCAATGAATACTAAAACACTGAACTGGGTTCATCCAAAACTACATCAAACTAACATATCTGTAGAGAAACATGGGGTTTGATACAAAATAAAAAACTCTTATATAAAATTAAAATCCCTTCCATGGTAGTTCACGATCAAATGAATAGTTACCCTACTAGGCAAGTTCCAATGCAACATGCAGTCGAAACTGAACCAAAACAAACCGAACAAAGCTTCAAAACTGAACAGAGAGTGAAAGAGAGAGATACCCGGCTAAGCCCTCTGAAAGACATTGCAGCCACGAAAGTCTTGAGAACAAGAAAGAGTCGATCAACAATAAGAAGAACAGATTTAGAGAAGGCGAAGAGATATGGGCAAATGAGGCATGCAGAAGAAAGATAAACAAATGGGCAATTGGGAATGAAACCGATCAAACAAAAAAGAAAATCAAAGTTAATAATATTCTCTTCGTTTTTCTGAGGCCAGAAAAAGAAAGCAGAGGAAAATGAGAGAAGAAAAAAAAAAGTGGAAGATTCGGATTGTAAAGGAGAGGAGAGGAGCACAGTGTGCCTACGCTTTCTCATTATATATACCCTTTTGCTCTGACGAAAGATACGTACACATGGTGATGGTGCGTAAAACTAACGCTTGCAAATTGCAATGGCCCTGACGTTGACTCGGGGACAGAATTTCAGAGTCAGAGGGACCCACCTCCATAACCACCGCAACGTTGTCCACTCGCCACGTACATACTCTGCTTTTGTTGCTGGCAAGGCAAATTTAGGATTATGAAAGTTGTGATCTTCTGAACAATTGAACAAGGTGGTTTTACTTGCTTTGGTTGATGCATTTTAGCGGGAGAGGAGCTGAAGAAGATGAACAAGACAGAAGAGGATAATAAGAAACTCAGAGTAGCTAAATATGTTCTCAACTGCGAAAGGATCCATTCGCAATTTGCCAATAATTCCGACTAGACAACTAGGCCTGGGTTTGGTTTAGTAACTGAACCGAATGTTCAAACCGTGGTTTGGAGTGATTTAAATTGTAAATTGGATCGCACCAAAGCAGTTCAGTTCAGTTAACAATTAGAATTCAGAAAAACAAAAACAAAAACTTGATTCATCGGTTTAGTTTGGTCCAATTTGGTCGGTTGGCCGGTTCTTTGGTTTAAATTCTCAGCCCTAAAGACAACAGAGCTTTGGGGTCAGTTCATGAACAAGGCTAAATATGTAATGTCGTTCTTACCCTACTAGATTACTAAAACAGAAGGGTGATTTGGGCAATTCACATTTCATTTCTATGCTTGAAATCACTCCATTTTACATCATCTTGCAAGTTTTTCTGTTTGAGAGCACAACTTCTTGAATTCAATAAACTCATTATTGTGTCACAAATAAACTTCTCTTTAAACTTGAATGATCCGGTGAACAATTTTACAATGTCAATGTTCACCCACATAAATATGGACCAGTTGCTCTGCTTTTGCCTCTACATAGAGCAAAACGACAGTTATTCAAATGAACAAAGCTCAACCAAAAGTTCAAGAGCATGATCATCAACTAAGCTTGGAGCTTGAATGGTTCAAGTACAATGTCGGTTTGACCCTGCTTCATAGCATAGTTGGTAAAGAACTCTTTGTACTGAAACGCTTTGTAGAGTTGGGGATTGCTTGCATTAATAAGAGCTCCTGCAGGTTTTATGAGGCAATCAGGGGAAGGAGTGAAGAAAAATGCAGCAGATGTCCTAGCACTTCTGGAATTCGTAACGGCCCGATGTTCGGCACATTTCAGCTTCCCATTACTGATAATCTGCATCCATGTTTACAAAAATTTGTCATGATCATGAACATACTATATATAATAATCTTCAGTATAAAGAATAGTGATATGTACCTGTAACTGATAGCCTATGTTGACCACAAGTGCATTGGGAAGAGGCTCCACACCAATCCATTCTCCATCCTTGAAAACTTGAAGCCCATTTACATCCCTTTGAAGTAAAATGGTTATGAGATTTGGGTCACAGTGTTTAGGTAACCCTAATGTCAAACTTGGGTCTGGACAAGGTGGGTAATTATTGACTGAGAGTAAAGACACTTGGCTAAGTTCATCCCTGAAATACCCAGGTTCTAGCCCAAGTCCTTCACTGATTAGCTGCAAAATGTTCAAAGCCACTTCCCTCACTTGGGTGGAACATGCACCAACATGCTCTCTGAAAAACATCATTGGTAATTAATATAGAAAAGTTGATATATATCCAAATTCTCATCTAAAAGTTGGGTTTAATCCTCGGATTTGGTGACTTTGATACAAGTCCTTTGACTTTTGTGCCACATAGGATTACATTCCTTTTTGAATATTGTCTGATGTAATCTTTTTATTTTATATATTTAAAATCATTTTTTGTTCCAATATTGCCCATTATCTTAGATTACTTACCTTAATGAGATAATTAGCCAATATTATATTTCTTTCCTTATCCAATTTACCCTTGCCCATTATCTTCGATTACTTACCTTAATGAGATAATTAGCCAATATTATATTTCTTTCCTTTGATTACCTGCTTCAATTATAAATGACATGTAACATAGTTATAAGTGGAAGCTGAGATTCATAAATAACATATGAAAAAGCAGAGGTGAGTTGACCAAATTAGGAAGAAATTGAAGCCTAAGCAACCTGAAAAAATCCGAATTCTTCGCTCGCGTTGAGCATTTTCTGAATTATAGAGGTTCTGTCATGAGCTTCTGCTCCAGCTCCACCCATATCAATCACTGGAATGTTGTTGCATAAAGGAACATCTAGCTTCCCGGGTCTTGCATCTGGTGGGAATATGTAATTGTCCGGCAAGGGTTGAACGTTGTACCAGCTTGAAACGAGGTTCTCCATTGCTTTGCTCCAATGCCAATGAACATGCCCAGATAATCTGGTGTATAATCTCAGAGTGATTGCAGACATAGAAAAACTAGTGCATATATAAATAAGGCTTTGGAGTAGCTTCCAGACTTACACCTCGTAAAGTCAGCCATCCATGTATGTGCTCCATTTTTTATTTTTTATTTTTATTATATCGATTGGAGTTAATATAATATTTGTTCCCTTCTAGTGGGCTATCAAGAAATAAAATGACTGATATACATTAACAAAATAGAATTTAACGTACGCGAATAGTTAGTGAGCGGGAATTTGAACACATGATTTTAGATACAGAGGTAAATACTATTAATTACTTAGAGTTACATGTTCCTTGCAACTGCCGTCCAATTGAGGTGACAACAAAAATCCCTATAAATGTATGGGCTAATTAGTAATTTGTCAATACTTTGGAGTAATAAGACAACAGACCTTTGGGTCAATTAGTGAATAGGCGAAATAGAAAATGCCAATTTTTACCCTACTACATTACAAAAACAGCGAGGGTATTATCGATTTTTCATGTTTCATTTGCGCTTTCGATCCCTCAATTTTTACGAAATCTCACAACTTTCATTTGTTTACGTTTTCACGTGTGGTTTCCAAAAAAACACACGTGTGGTTACCAGTAACAAGCTGGAGCATCCGCACCCGACCCGACGGATCCAATTAATCCATATGAAGCCATGGAATTCCATTCGCATTGTCATGTACATCTTCCACGTTCGTAGTTTTATTATTATTTGTGTTCATCTGTTGGCACTCATTCGGAAGCGGGGCACCACAAAGTCCTGGGTTACCCTCAAAGGCAGTGGCATCGAAGCTTTGGAGCTGAGTGCCTGACGGTACTTGTCCATGCAGATTATTGTATGCAACACTAAATGAAGCCAAGAAATGAAGATTTGACAGTGAAGATGGGATCGCGCCCGACAGATGGTTTCTTGAGAGGTCTAATCTCTCCAAGTTTGTGAGGTTAGATACCTGGTCTGGAATGCTGCCGAAGAGGTTGTTGACGCTAAGATCCAACTCGTGAAGGTGTTGCAATTGGCCAATCTCAACCGGTATGTTGCCACTTAGACTGTTGTTTCGGATGTAAATTGCTCTTGGCAAGTTGGACAGATAGTTGTACTGCAAAGCAGTAATGGATTGATTCGTGCGTTGCGTGTAGATAGGCAGTTCAACATCACCATGGTCTGTTGGAGTTGCATGTTTTTCTGATACCAGTGCTTGTAGTCTGAAAAGCTCCTTTGGAAGTTCACCTGAAAGGGAGTTATTGTCCAAGCTTATAAAGAAAAGACTAGGAAGAGTCCCCAACCAACCAGGTATTAAGCCTGTGAGTCTATTAGTAGACAGGTCCAGGGCTTCCAGTTTCTTGAGCTTTGACATCCATACAGGTATATGACCTGTAAGTTGGCAGTCTGATAAACCAAGAAGACGGAGATTTTGAAACCCCAAAACAACCATAGCCTCACCATCAGGTAGTTCTTCTCCTAGAAAACTATTTGGAAGGGTGAGTACCCTGAGATTTTTGCAACCCATCAATATAGATATGGCCCCTGTGACATTGGTCAGTCTGTTCCTGCCAAGGGAGAGGAAGGACAGGGATTTTAAAGAGACAATCTCAGGTTGTATTTGTCCCTCTAGATCATTTCCGCTCAGTCGAATTGCTTTCAGGGACTTGCATAAGTAAAGCCTAACTGGCATGAAACCAGAGAAGTTATTACTCCCTAGACCAAGCTTAATAAGTTGACCAAGTTTGGAGAAATTTAGCATTGTGATATTTCCTTCCAAACGGTTGAATCCCAGATTTAGTTCTACAAGGTTTGTGCAATTCATCAAAGATGGGGGCAGAGAACCTTGTAGACTGTTGAAATGAAGGAGCATGAGTTTCAATTTGGAGAGCTTCCCAATATGGTGAGGGAGCATGCCGGTCAGCTGATTAAAGTATATCTCTAGGATTGTGAGGCTGGTAAGATTGACAATCCTGTCACTGATGGGACCAAAAAGCTTATTGGAAGGTAATGAAATTTCTTCAAGTGCCTGAGCATTGTAAATATCACTAGGAAGGGTCCCTGAGATACTATTGAAACCTGCACGAAAGACCTCCAATTTCGAACAGGTCCCTAGACCAAGAGGAATTGAGCCACTGAAATCATTGTAGGAGAAATCCAAGACTCTAACCAAAGATGAATAAAGACAGATAGAGGATGGCATTTGGCCAGTAAAATGATTTTTGCTGACATTCAAACTGCTCAAATTACCAGCATGCTGGAGGAATGAAGAAGGAATTGTTCCGTTGAATTGATTGCTTGATAAATCCACTATTCGGATATAACTGGATGGCTGAAACAAAGGTACTTCACCAGAGAGAAGGTTGTAGCTCAAATCAAGAATCTCAAGGAAACTCAAGGACAAAATGAGTCCAGCTTCCAGAGGACCAGAAAGCTGATTGTGGGAGAGATTGAGGTGCGAAAGATGCGTGAGGTTTCCAAGAGAGCGAGAAACGCTTCCTTGGAGCCGTTTGGAGGGCAACAACAAATGAGTTACCCTACCATCCTTCTCACAAGTGATGCCTTCCCAGTGACAACAATCACTAGAAGACCAGTTTAAAGCAGAAGAAGGTACATCAAAAGATGACCAAAGAGAGTTGTGATCTGCTTTGTTGCATGCATGATTTGTAGAGATGACAGTGGACAAAAAAAAGAACATGAAGAAGACTCCACAAGGCATTGTGTGACTAGGAACTGCCATGGTTCTTTTTGCTATTGCTATACTTACCAGCCTCACAATCCTAGAGATATACTTTAATCAGTCGAAAGAGAGTTGTGATCTGCTTTGTTGCATGCATGATTTGTAGAGATGACAGTGGACAAAAAAAAGAACATGAAGAAGACTCCACAAGGCATTGTGTGACTAGGAACTGCCATGGTTCTTTTTGCTATTGCTATACTTACCAGCCTCACAATCCTAGAGATATACTTTAATCAGTCGAAAGAGAGTTGTGATGTTTCTTTATTATATCAATTGGAGTTAATATAATATTTGTTCCCTTCAAGTGGGCTATACTTGTATATGAATTAGTCTGGCCGGCTATCTAGAAATAAAATAACTGATATACATAGAATTTGACGTAAGCTATGGTTACCGGGCGGAATTTGAACACATGATTTTGAATACAGAGATAAATGCTCTTAATTACTTAAAGCTGCATATTTCTTGCGACTGCCATCCAATTGAGGTGACAACAAAAATCCCTATAAATGTATGGGCTAATTAGTAATTTGTCAATACTTTGGACTAATAAGACAACAGAACTTTGGGTCAATTAGTGAATAGGGCGAAATAGAAAATGCCAATTTTTACCCTACTACATTACAAAAACAGCGAGGGTATTATCGATTTTTCATGTTTCATTTGCGCTTTCAATCCCTCAATTTTTACGAAATCTCACAACTTTCATTTGTTTACGTTCTCACGTGTGGTTACCAGTAACAAGCTGGAGCATCCGCACCCGACCCGATGGATCCAATTGATGGGGATCGGGGTTCGAACACAGGTCACCAACCACATACACGAACACCGAAATCTAGGGCTAGTGCAAACTCACATATATCGTAGCAAATCCATGCCACAAATAAACTATATCATTAATCATCAACATAAACTCCCCTACAACTATTACATTAGCCTTATTTATAGGCTTTACAAGACTTGGGCACCAAGGCTACTTGGTCCAAAAGTAAACTAATTAATTATAAAATCACACATAAATAATGAAAGATATCCTAAAACTACCTAAATAAGAAAATACCAATATATCATGAAGTAACTAATTAAATGGTAAATATCTTTCTTGATCCACCCCTATGCTCTTGCATCAGGATGGTTTAGATTGTTGCTATGCAGCAGCTATGGTTAATAAAATCTTTTATTTCCCATGGAAAAATACACTTCACTACCCCAGAAAGCGATCTTTAACATTGGACAGAAATTCGAAATATGTATATCGCCATGACCTGCTCAAAGCTAAAGGGCCACAAACTCCCCAAAATCCTATAATGAAACCAAGAGCCACTGAAATATGAAGCCATGGAATTCCATTCGCATTGTCATGTACATCTTCCACGTTCGTTGTTTTATTATTATTTGTGTTCATCTGTTGGCACTCATTCGGAAGCGGGGCACCACAAAGTCCTGGGTTACCCTCAAAGGCAGTGGCATCGAAGCTTTGGAGCTGAGTGCCTGACGGTACTTGTCCATGCAGATTATTGTATGCAACACTAAATGAAGCCAAGAAATGAAGATTTGACA